TTGTGAGTCATGGCTATGGACTTGGTGGTTGTGAGTCATGGCTATGGACTTGGTGGTTGTGAGTCATGGCTATGGACTTGGTGGTTGTGAGTCATGGCTATGGACTTGGTGGTTGTGAGTCATGGCTATGGACTTGGTGGTTGTGAGTCATGGCTATGGACTTGGTGGTTGTGAGTCATGGCTATGGACTTGATGGTTGTGAGTCATGGCTATGGACTTGATGGTTGTGAGTCATGGCTATGGACTTGGTGGTTGTGAGTCATGGCTATGGACTTGGTGGTTGTGAGTCATGGCTATGGACTTGGTGGTTGTGAGTCATGGCTATGGACTTGGTGGTTGTGAGTCATGGCTATGGACTTGGTGGTTGTGAGTCATGGCTATGGACTTGATGGTTGTGAGTCATGGCTATGGACTTGATGGTTGTGAGTCATGGCTATGGACTTGGTGGTTGTGAGTCATGGCTATGGACTTGGTGGTTGTGAGTCATGGCTATGGACTTGGTGGTTGTGAGTCATGGCTATGGACTTGGTGGTTGTGAGTCATGGCTATGGACTTGATGGTTGTGAGTCATGGCTATGAACTTGATGGTTGTGAGTCATGGCTATGGACTTGATGGTTGTGAGTCATGGCTATGGACTTGATGGTTGTGAGTCATGGCTATTGACTTGGTGGTTGTGAGTCATGGCTATTGACTTGGTGGTTGTGAGTCATGGCTATGGACTTGGTGGTTGTGAGTCATGGCTATGGACTTGGTGGTTGTGAGTCATGGCTATGGACTTGGTGGTTGTGAGTCATGGCTATGGACTTGGTGGTTGTGAGTCATGGCTATGGACTTGGTGGTTGTGAGTCATGGCTATGGACTTGGTGGTTGTGAGTCATGGCTATGGACTTGGTGGTTGTGAGTCATGGCTATGGACTTGATGGTTGTGAGTCATGGCTATGGACTTGATGGTTGTGAGTCATGGCTATGGACTTGATGGTTGTGAGTCATGGCTATGGACTTGGTGGTTGTGAGTCATGGCTATGGACTTGGTGGTTGTGAGTCATGGCTATGGACTTGGTGGTTGTGAGTCATGGCTATGGACTTGGTGGTTGTGAGTCATGGCTATGGACTTGGTGGTTGTGAGTCATGGCTATGGACTTGGTGGTTGTGAGTCATGGCTATGGACTTGGTGGTTGTGAGTCATGGCTATGGACTTGATGGTTGTGAGTCATGGCTATGGACTTGATGGTTGTGAGTCATGGCTATGGACTTGGTGGTTGTGAGTCATGGCTATGGACTTGGTGGTTGTGAGTCATGGCTATGGACTTGGTGGTTGTGAGTCATGGCTATGGACTTGGTGGTTGTGAGTCATGGCTATGGACTTGGTGGTTGTGAGTCATGGCTATGGACTTGGTGGTTGTGAGTCATGGCTATGGACTTGGTGGTTGTGAGTCATGGCTATGGACTTGGTGGTTGTGAGTCATGGCTATGGACTTGGTGGTTGTGAGTCATGGCTATGGACTTGGTGGTTGTGAGTCATGGCTATGGACTTGATGGTTGTGAGTCATGGCTATGGACTTGATGGTTGTGAGTCATGGCTATGGACTTGGTGGTTGTGAGTCATGGCTATGGACTTGGTGGTTGTGAGTCATGGCTATGGACTTGGTGGTTGTGAGTCATGGCTATGGACTTGATGGTTGTGAGTCATGGCTATGGACTTGATGGTTGTGAGTCATGGCTATGGACTTGGTGGTTGTGAGTCATGGCTATGGACTTGATGGTTGTGAGTCATGGCTATGGACTTGGTGGTTGTGAGTCATGGCTATGGACTTGGTGGTTGTGAGTCATGGCTATGGACTTGGTGGTTGTGAGTCATGGCTATGGACTTGGTGGTTGTGAGTCATGGCTATGGACTTGATGGTTGTGAGTCATGGCTATGGACTTGATGGTTGTGAGTCATGGCTATGGACTTGATGGTTGTGAGTCATGGCTATGGACTTGGTGGTTGTGAGTCATGGCTATGGACTTGGTGGTTGTGAGTCATGGCTATGGACTTGGTGGTTGTGAGTCATGGCTATGGACTTGGTGGTTGTGAGTCATGGCTATGGACTTGGTGGTTGTGAGTCATGGCTATGGACTTGGTGGTTGTGAGTCATGGCTATGGACTTGGTGGTTGTGAGTCATGGCTATGGACTTGATGGTTGTGAGTCATGGCTATGGACTTGATGGTTGTGAGTCATGGCTATGGACTTGGTGGTTGTGAGTCATGGTTATGGACTTGGTGGTTGTGAGTCATGGCTATGGACTTGGTGGTTGTGAGTCATGGCTATGGACTTGGTGGTTGTGAGTCATGGCTATGGACTTGGTGGTTGTGAGTCATGGCTATGGACTTGGTGGTTGTGAGTCATGGCTATGGACTTGGTGGTTGTGAGTCATGGCTATGGACTTGGTGGTTGTGAGTCATGGCTATGGACTTGGTGGTTGTGAGTCATGGCTATGGACTTGGTGGTTGTGAGTCATGGCTATGGACTTGATGGTTGTGAGTCATGGCTATGGACTTGATGGTTGTGAGTCATGGCTATGGACTTGATGGTTGTGAGTCATGGCTATGGACTTGATGGTTGTGAGTCATGGCTATGGACTTGATGGTTGTGAGTCATGGCTATGGACTTGATGGTTGTGAGTCATGGCTATGGACTTGATGGTTGTGAGTCATGGCTATGGACTTGATGGTTGTGAGTCATGGCTATGGACTTGATGGTTGTGAGTCATGGCTATGGACTTGATGGTTGTGAGTCATGGCTATGGACTTGATGGTTGTGAGTCATGGCTATGGACTTGGTGGTTGTGAGTCATGGCTATGGACTTGGTGGTTGCGAGTCATGGCTATGGACTTGGTGGTTGTGAGTCATGGCTATGGACTTGGTGGTTGTGAGTCATGGCTATGGACTTGGTGGTTGTGAGTCATGGCTATGGACTTGGTGGTTGTGAGTCATGGCTATGGACTTGGTGGTTGTGAGTCATGGCTATGGACTTGGTGGTTGTGAGTCATGGCTATGGACTTGGTGGTTGTGAGTCATGGCTATGGACTTGGTGGTTGTGAGTCATGGCTATGGACTTGGTGGTTGTGAGTCATGGCTATGGACTTGATGGTTGTGAGTCATGGCTATGGACTTGATGGTTGTGAGTCATGGCTATGGACTTGATGGTTGTGAGTCATGGCTATGGACTTGATGGTTGTGAGTCATGGCTATGGACTTGATGGTTGTGAGTCATGGCTATGGACTTGATGGTTGTGAGTCATGGCTATGGATTTGATGGTTGTGAGTCATGGCTATGGACTTGATGGTTGTGAGTCATGGCTATGGACTTGATGGTTGTGAGTCATGGCTATGGACTTGATGGTTGTGAGTCATGGCTATGGACTTGGATGGTTGTGAGTCATGGCTATGGACTTGGTGGTTGTGAGTCATGGCTATGGACTTGGTGGTTGTGAGTCATGGCTATGGACTTGGTGGTTGTGAGTCATGGCTATGGACTTGGTGGTTGTGAGTCATGGCTATGGACTTGGTGGTTGTGAGTCATGGCTATGGACTTGGTGGTTGTGAGTCATGGCTATGGACTTGGTGGTTGTGAGTCATGGCTATGGACTTGGTGGTTGTGAGTCATGGCTATGGACTTGGTGGTTGTGAGTCATGGCTATGGACTTGGTGGTTGTGAGTCATGGCTATGGACTTGGTGGTTGTGAGTCATGGCTATGGACTTGGTGGTTGTGAGTCATGGCTATGGACTTGGTGGTTGTGAGTCATGGCTATGGACTTGGTGGTTGTGAGTCATGGCTATGGACTTGGTGGTTGTGAGTCATGGCTATGGACTTGGTGGTTGTGAGTCATGGCTATGGACTTGGTGGTTGTGAGTCATGGCTATGGACTTGGTGGTTGTGAGTCATGGCTATGGACTTGATGGTTGTGAGTCATGGCTATGGACTTGATGGTTGTGAGTCATGGCTATGGACTTGATGGTTGTGAGTCATGGCTATGGACTTGATGGTTGTGAGTCATGGCTATGGACTTGATGGTTGTGAGTCATGGCTATGGACTTGATGGTTGTGAGTCATGGCTATGGACTTGATGGTTGTGAGTCATGGCTATGGACTTGATGGTTGTGAGTCATGGCTATGGACTTGGTGGTTGTGAGTCATGGCTATGGACTTGGTGGTTGCGAGTCATGGCTATGGACTTGGTGGTTGTGAGTCATGGCTATGGACTTGGTGGTTGTGAGTCATGGCTATGGACTTGGTGGTTGTGAGTCATGGCTATGGACTTGGTGGTTGTGAGTCATGGCTATGGACTTGGTGGTTGTGAGTCATGGCTATGGACTTGGTGGTTGTGAGTCATGGCTTTGGACTTGGTGGTTGTGAGTCATGGCTATGGACTTGGTGGTTGTGAGTCATGGCTATGGACTTGGTGGTTGTGAGTCATGGCTATGGACTTGATGGTTGTGAGTCATGGCTATGGACTTGATGGTTGTGAGTCATGGCTACGGACTTGATGGTTGTGAGTCATGGCTATGGACTTGATGGTTGTGAGTCATGGCTATGGACTTGATGGTTGTGAGTCATGGCTATGGACTTGATGGTTGTGAGTCATGGCTATGGACTTGATGGTTGTGAGTCATGGCTATGGACTTGATGGTTGTGAGTCATGGCTATGGACTTGATGGTTGTGAGTCATGGCTATGGACTTGATGGTTGTGAGTCATGGCTATGGACTTGGTGGTGTGGAGGTGGGACGTGGAGAAACGAGAAGGGTGAGGGGAAACTGGTGAAGATCGAATACAGGGTGGGATGAGGGAGCGAGAGAGGAGGGTCAACGCGCATGAGACCGGTGGCGAAGGGAGTCAGTAGGGTTGGTCGGGGCGGGGGCAAGTCAGAACATGGACGGACAACATCGCCTGTGACTTGTGTAAACTAGCAGTTTCAAACTACATGCATGACGAGCATGTGCAAGGCCAGAGGTCAGAAGGGACAGAGGTGAAGCAAGGGAGGCGAGGTGGGAGATGCGAAGTAGGGAAAGGAGAGGAGAGGCAAGGAGAAGCGAGGACGAGCAGCAAGGAGAAGCAAGCAGGCGTACGTACAGTTCTGCAGGTCAGCAGCGAACTGCTCGCCCACCCAGAGCGACGTCTCAACACCCGTGACAAGCACGTCGATCTCCTTGCGGCTCATGCCCCCCGCCGCCTCCCCCGCCGCCACCGCCGCCTCCGCCTTGGCCTGCAGCATGGCCACCAGCGCTGCTGCTGTGCGCCGGTTGAGGGACCGCGCGTCCTCCCAGTCCGCCCTTATGGACTCCAGCACGCGGGGTATGGCCTGGTGGGGGAGGAAGAGGGCGGGAGAGGGAAGAAAGGTGGGGAAAGGAGAGGAAGGGGGAGGAAGCGAGGGGGGGAGGGACAGGAACGGGGAGGAAAGGGGGCAGGGAGGGCAGGGTAGGGCAGATTAGGCCAGGCGCGCAATTGAGGAGAAAAGGGAGTGGAATAGCGCAGATGGCTGTAGCAGAACAGAACATTGGACATGGTGACAAGGGAGTGTGAGTGAGCGTGCTTGCATCGAGACAGAGAGAGGAACATAGAGGGACAGTCGAATAGTGAGATCGTGCGTGGGCGAGGGGTCGTGGAAGCGAGAGGGATAGCGAGAGGGGGAGGGGTAGTGAGGGCGAGAGAGATAGTGGGAGGGAGAGGGGTAGTGGGAGCGCGAGGGGTAGTGGGAGTCGAGAGGGATAGTGAGGGCCGAGAGGGATAGTGAGGGCCGAGAGGGATAGTGAGGGCCGAGAGGGATAGTGAGGGCCGAGAGGGATAGTGAGGGCCGAGAGGGATAGTGAGGGCCGAGAGGGATAGTGAGGGCCGAGAGGGATAGTGAGGGCCGAGAGGGATAGTGAGGGCCGAGAGGGATAGTGAGGGCCGAGAGGGATAGTGAGGGCCGAGAGGGATAGTGAGGGCCGAGAGGGATAGTGAGGGCCGAGAGGGATAGTGAGGGCCGAGAGGGATAGTGAGGGCCGAGAGGGATAGTGAGGGCCGAGAGGGATAGTGAGGGCCGAGAGGGATAGTGAGGGCCGAGAGGGATAGTGAGGGCCGAGAGGGATAGTGAGGGCCGAGAGGGATAGTGAGGGCCGAGAGGGATAGTGAGGGCCGAGAGGGATAGTGAGGGCCGAGAGGGATAGTGAGGGCCGAGAGGGATAGTGAGGGCCGAGAGGGATAGTGAGGGCCGAGAGGGATAGTGAGGGCCGAGAGGGATAGTGAGGGCCGAGAGGGATAGTGAGGGCCGAGAGGGATAGTGAGGGCCGAGAGGGATAGTGAGGGCCGAGAGGGATAGTGAGGGCCGAGAGGGATAGTGAGGGCCGAGAGGGATAGTGAGGGCCGAGAGGGATAGTGAGGGCCGAGAGGGATAGTGAGGGCTGAGAGGGATAGTGAGGGCCGAGAGGGATAGTGAGGGCCGAGAGGGATAGTGAGGGCCGAGAGGGATAGTGAGGGCCGAGAGGGATAGTGAGGGCCGAGAGGGATAGTGAGGGCCGAGAGGGATAGTGAGGGCCGAGAGGGATAGTGAGGGCCGAGAGGGATAGTGAGGGCCGAGAGGGATAGTGAGGGCCGAGAGGGATAGTGAGGGCCGAGAGGGATAGTGAGGGCCGAGAGGGATAGTGAGGGCTGAGAGGGATAGTGAGGGCCGAGAGGGATAGTGAGGGCCGAGAGGGATAGTGAGGGCCGAGAGGGATAGTGAGGGCCGAGAGGGATAGTGAGGGCCGAGAGGGATAGTGAGGGCCGAGAGGGATAGTGAGGGCCGAGAGGGATAGTGGGACCGGGAGGCGAGATGGAGTGGCATCAAAGCAGAGTAAATTTTGAGACATCTCAATAAACCGAGGGAGGAGGAGGGAGTAGTACCCTCAGGTCTGCTTCCACGAGGTCACGGGGGGGAGATGGGGTGGCAGAGCAGAGGGCAGCAGGGCCCCAGGCAGCATGCAGATCGTCAGTGGGAGTGTCCTCGTCATCTGCTGCGAGGAAGGGGTTGTTGCCCACTGGGATGAGCCGTTTGCGCTGCAGGAACTGCGCCTGTGGGATGGGCATGCGGAGGAGGGGGAGGCGGGGCGAGGGTGAAAGAGGAGAAGGAGATTCAGGGGGGAGGGCGTGTAGTGCTGCCTCCAGGGAAAGGGTTGCTGCCCAATGGGATGAGCCGCTTGCGCTGCAGGAACTGAGCCTGTGGGATGGGCATGCGGGGGTAAGGGGGCAGGGGGAGGGGAGGGAAGGGTGGCGAAAGGATGCAGCATTAGTGAGGGGGTATGGTGGTGCTTCAGAGGAAGGGTGAAATGAGAAAGAGAGGTGCACGTGTCATGTGCATGGTGCGTCAGCATCCATGACCCTCGCCCTCCTTGCTGCCAGCTGCTACCCCTTGGTTAGTAAGAAGGTGTGGTGAGGCTCATGCGGTGAGGAGAGCATGTGAGGAGGGAGGGCATGTGAGTGAGAAGCGCATGTGAGTGAGAAGCGCATGTGAGTGAGAAGCGCATGTGAGTGAGAAGCGCATGTGAGTGCGTACTGTGGTGACGGGCTTGTTGTGCTTGATGCTGTACAGCTTCACCCCCACGAACTCCAACTCTGGCAGCTCCAAACACCCCCCCTGCTCCTCCTCCTGCTCCCTGCCCGCCCCATTCGCAGTCCCGTCAGCCAATCCGTTCTCCCCCTTCGCTGCCTCACCATTGGCAGCGCCTCCCCTGCTTCCACCACCCGTGCCATGCGCACCCCCCATGTTCCCCTGTCCTCGCATAACCACCTCCATCACCTCCCCTTCAGACTCATCCAGGTCCACACGGTATGCTATCCTCCTCCCACTGCTGCCGCCCCCCGCCGCTCCCCTTCCAGCAGCAGCAGGAGCAGGGGCGGGTGAGAGGGGAGTGAGGAGGGAGTGGGACTCGGAGGAGAAGAGCACGGTGCGCGAGTGGGGGGCGAAGCCCAGGGCCAGTGGCTGGTTGCGTGCTGCCAGCACCACTCGATCGCAGTCTGCTGTGCATGCCGTTGTCATGCCGAACGAACCCTGAAAGGGGAAGAGGGGGAGGGAAAAGGGAAGGGGGGAGGGGAAGAGAAGGGGCGAGGGGAAGAGTAGGGGGGAGGGGGGAGAAGAAGCGACTTTTGAGTCAACTTGAAAGTCAGCTCGGCTGTCAGCACCACGCGGTCACAGTCTGCCGTGCATGCCGTTGTCATGCCGAACGAACCCTGGGAGGGACGGGGGGAGAGGATTGGGTTTCTAGCGGATGGCTGCTACCAGTGTGCTGATGAAAGAGGGTACTTGCACGTTGGGCAGAACACATGCAAACGCACATACAAAGGCGCATGCATGCAGGCGCACGTGCAGCAGTCCTTCCCCACACGTCCACGACCCCAATGGTCCTCTTCCAAAGCATAGAGGACTTATCATCATAAAGACAGACTTGCTACACTCCCCAAGTGAATCTTACTCCCAGTGCTGCAGATTCCATACATACACCCACTGCTGCTGCCACATGTGCTATGGCCTTAAGTTGGATCGTTCCATCAAAACGGGTAGCACACACGTGAAGTACACGTGCATGTACGTTTACCTGTAAACCCGAAACCCAAAACCTTCAACCCTGAGGAAGCAGCTTACGTGTAGCCCACCTTGGTATTCTCAAAAAGCTTTTCATCTCAGCAACCCATAAGTGCTTGCACTCAACTGAAAGCACGCCCACTGCTACCTTGGCGTTACCTTGAAGAGCCCACCTTGGCGTTTTCAAGGAACTTCTTGGCAGCCCAGTAGAGATCATTGTCCAGGAAGTTGGCCACCGCCTGCCGCACAAACACCTGCAGCAGCGCCGCTGACAGCCCTGACAGACACTCCGGTGGCTCTCCCCCTTCATTCTGCTGCGCCTCCCCCTGCTGCTGCTCCTGCTGCTCCCTCCCCTGCGCATCCCCGCCGTTCCCCAGCAGTGATGGCTCCTCTGAAAGCTCCTCGCCCTCGCCCTCACCCTCCACCACAGCTGCACCCACAGTCACTGCTACACTGTCGCTGTCACCGCCAGCAGCAGCAGCAGCAGGGGAGGCGGTTGCGCGGGGCAGGGGGCGGGAGTGCAGGGCAGCGAGGATGGCGTCCACTAGAAGCGCCTCTCTCCCTGCCATGGCTGCCCGCAGTGCTGTCACTGGTGGGGGGGATCAGGGGAGGGAGATGCGAAGGGGCGGTGGCAGGTTCGTGGTGAGAGAGGAAGGGAAAAGGAGTGCAGGGCGGCGAGGATGGCGTCCTCTAGAAGCGCCTCTCTCCCTGCCATAGCTGCCCGCAGTGCTGTCACTGGTGGGGGGAAAGCGGGGAAAGGTTGGTACAGGGGAAAGGGGTGGCATGGGGACAGGTCAGAGGGAGACAGGGAAGGAAGGGTATTTTGTGAGGTTCAGGTAAGCATGAGAGCGTGGAAGGGGGTTGATGAGTTCGGGTGCACGAGCACGTGGGGAGGTGGGCCTTCCGGTTGGCCTCACTGAAAGCCTTTCACACACATCGACGCTGCAACTATACGCCCTCTCCTACTGCTTGTATAGTATCCGCCCAACAAAACCAAAAGAGGAACAAAAACTCTCGTGTTGATAGTGTTTTATGGTGTGTGATGTGATGTGATGTGATGTGATGTGATGTGATGTGATGTGATGTGATGTGATGTGATGTGATGTGATGTGATGTGATGTGATGTGATGTGATGTGATGTGATGTGATGTGATGTGATGTGATGTGATGTGATGTGATGTGATGTGATGTGATGTGATGTGATGTGATGTGATGTGATGTGATGTGATGTGATGTGATGTGATGCATGTGACATGCGTTTCGATACGCATCCATGTGCATCGATCCAACCAACCAGCGCCCGCTTGCCTGCTGAACCACGTGGGGCAGGCTTGGCAGCAGCAGCAGCACCTCCCCCCACCGCACCCATGCCCTGCATGCCCTGCACCACATGCGCCATGGCGCGCTCTGCTGCTGCAGCCACGGGGGCAAGGTCCGCAAGGCATGGCAGGGGGTGCGACGCCTGGGGCGACAGCACCTCCTCGTACGACATCACCACCGTCTGAGGGTGCGGTGTGAGGGGCGGGGGGTGGGCGGGGAGGGGGGTCGGGGGGGTGGGAGGGGGGAGAGAGAGGGTTGTTCAGGCAAGAGCAGCTCCTGGTATGACATCACCGCGGTCTGGGTGTTTGGGGGGGGGGAGGGTGTTTAAAGCGCCTCGGACATTGTCTCGTTGTAAGGCGCCTCACAACTCGTCTGCTTTGAAAACGCTTCAAGATTGAGGTGTCTCGATAATAGCGCAAGGGGAGGAGCGAGCAAGAGAGATTATCTCCTATATACAGGCAGCACACCACTCACACGGTCCGTGCTAGGTGCGGGAGAAGGGGAACGGGGAAAGGACACGGATCCGTGTTCTGAGCGGCTAGAAGTGGTGGAGAGAGGTGCATGGAGGTGCATGGAGGTGCATGGGAGGGAGGGAGAAGGGAGAGGGACTGGGTATTGGGATAAAATTCCAGAATGTACCAGTTACGAGCTCTTGAATTGAGTGGCCTCTGTGGGTAGGGGTGCAATTTGTCTAATCCCACTCTACCAGAGGGCAGTTGTCACTGCCAAACCTCCGGTGGACAACCTGTTTCCATTCGGCTTGGTTACTAGAGCAGGAGGGTTATGTTACTTAACCCTTGGAGGCCCACAGAGGTGGCTGGCGTGGGAAGGGAGTTGGGAGAGGAAGAGGAGGGGGAAGGGGGGGGGGGGGGGGGGGGGGGGGGGGAGGGAGGGATAGGGGTTCGGGACGGGGGAAGGGGGTAGAAGAGTGTGGGGGAAGGAGGAGCGCTGACCTGGTGGAAGGCGAGGCGGATGGAGGGCAACCAGAGGGCGTGGGTGCGGAGGAGGTCCATGAGGCCTGCGATCATGACACTGTCGCACTGCGCTGGCTGGTCGCGCTCCAACACCACCTCCAGCCACGGCCCCATCTCCGAATGCGTGCGGTCCCTGTTAGGGGGGACGGATAGGCATCGTGCCACACATCACATCAGACCATGCCACACCACGCCACACCATATCGCATCACAGCATGGCACACAGCAGACACACGAGGTGGATTCTTGCCTGACGTTCGTTCACTGCTTGGCGCCAATTCGTTGCTCGCAGCGTTTGTGTCACTCTGAGTGTCTCCATCATAGAGTATCGATGCACTGCAAGTGTGCGTCACTGTTCACACCCTCTGGATTTCACAGCCTGGCACACATGCACCAAGAGGAACCTCGCAGTGCAGTGCACGCAGAGACTTATCAACTCTGCCCTTCTCTGCCTCTCTGCTCTTCTCTGCCTCTCTGCCCTACTCTGCCCCTCTGCTCTACCCTACCCCTCTCCCCTACTCTTCTCCACTGTTCCCCACTGACCTGCCAAAGAGGTTCCAGAACTCGAAGTCGCCGTTGTGAGTCACATACACGCCCACGTTGGTGGGCGCGCAGGTGATAGCGCCCGTGGCAGCGTGCACGCGCCACAGGGGCAGGCGCCTCTCCGGCACCCACCGGTGTGGGTGGGTCTCCCCCACAGACGGCACACTAGACGTGGCAAAGCGCGTGTGCCCCAGAAACACGTGCACAGAGGACGCACTGTCGTCACCTGCTTTCCCCGTGCTACCCTCTCGCGCTGCTGCTGCTGCTGATTGGCTGGGAGCAACTTGAGGTGGTGTGGAGAGGCGGAGGGCTTGCAGGAGGTAGGTGAAGGGGCGGACGAGGAGGGCGAGGAAGAAGGAGAGGGAGTCGGAGAGGCTGTTGAGGAAGATTGCAGCGCGGAACTTGGAGATGAGCTGTGCGGTGTGGTGTGGTGTGGTGTAGTGTGGTGCAGGGCATGCATGGGGCAACGACGCACAGAAATGAGGAGGTGAGGTGAGAGAGATGAGATTGAGTGGGGGCTGTGAGGTGATATGGGATGTATGTTGTTTAGTGTCGTGCAGTGCGGTGAGGCCCCTGAGGAGGACTCGACGTAATGTCCATAGTAGTAGGGAGTAGGTACGAGATGCAGGCAAAACGTCATTGTGCGATTCCAATTCTTGCTCTGCAACCCAGAATATTAATGTTCAACGGACGGACAGTTCTTGCCCTTCATCCCACGCTTAATGCTCTTCAATTGTTTCTCCGGGTCAACAATTGCGTGTCTTCCAAATACCAGCCCCAACCCACTCCTACCTTGCCCCCCTCGTCACCCCCTCCTTGCCATTCCCCCATCCTATTTTCCCAATCTCCCCACAATCCGTTCTTCCCACATCCTGCCCTTCCCATACCCTCTCCCCGCCCCTTCCCCCTTGCGGGCGGACCTGGTGCGAGAGCGACTGGCGCTTGGCGGGCTTGGCGCGCACGCGCACGCCCGCCATATCGTCGCGCCAGGTGCGCACGAACGTCACCACTCCGCCCGACTGCCCCCCGCGCTCCGACGAGATGGCCGCCATGCGCTCCAGCACGCCCAGCGCATCCACCGCGCGCTCGCGCCCCCATGCGCTGGGGGGAGAGGGACAAACGCGGGGCGGGGAGGGGTGTGGGGGGAAGAGACGGGGGGGGGAAACGAGGAGAGGGAGGGAGGGGTGGGGAAGAGGGGGGGGGAGGGAGGAGGGGGGGAACGGGGGGATGAGAAGGGGTTTGGGTAAGAAAGAGATTTAAGATGAAAGGGGTTAGGTGGGAGGTATAGAGAGTTTTGAGCGGACAGGAGGAAAATATCGGCATGGGGAGGGGAGAGGGGAAGGGTGGCGGGAAATGAAATTAAGAAAGAAAAAAAAAACAACAGTAAAAAAAAGGTGCACGAGGGGATGGTGTGAGAGGTAAGAGAAAATTCGGCGCAAATGCGGGCGAATTGGTGCGCACATGGCGGCAGCGCGCAGCACGGCGCGCAAAACAGCACTCACTGCAGCGCCGAGCCTGATTGCGCCATGATTATGCCGAAATTGCCGCAGAAAAAGCGCCACACCAACTGTGGACCGCCGCCGCCGCCGGCGGCCGCATGTAGACGGCAGTCCACGCGATTATCCGCGGGGTAGGAAAATGGGCGAAGGCAGAGCGCGTCGGAGGCGAGAGACGAGACGGCGCACACCGACACTCCTAGCGCCACGTCAACCAACCACGCGGCGCCGCTGCTTGCGGCTGCAGGCGCATCTGGCGCTGCGGAAGACTCTGTGGAGCGGGATCGAAGAAACAGCGCGATCCACGCGAGCGCGCTTAGAAAGACGCTGAAGACCCATCCCGCGTGGCGAATGATCGCCGCCTCGACGGACGACGACTGGCAGAGCGACGCGGGCGATGCGCACTTCAGCGACGCTTTTGTGAATGTGCGACAGACCGGCGTCGCTTGCTCGCTGGAAAGGTCTCGTCGCGCGGAGATTTGTTCGCTGACTGTGTCTCCGTTATTCACGGAGAGAGACGGCGCCCCGTGAGCTGACGTGGAGGACGGGGTAAGGAGCTCCGGGATGACGACGTGCGGTGCGAAGGTTCTAGGAAGTGGCACGATCGGGCACAGCGATACGAGCCAGTCGCTTCTGCTCACGTTCCCTCGCATGTTCTCGCCGCTCCAAATCGCCGGCGACTGCGCCGCCGGCCCTTCCGTTCCATGATCCCCGTCGCCGGCGGGTGATCTTCCCATGGCGACGCCATCTTGCGATCGCTGGCAGCTGCCGCGGCGCGTGAGCTTCCCGTCATGACACCTGCGGTTGGCCGGCGCGGCGTCAATTGAACGGGATAATGGTGGGTTTCGCGAGGGTTCGCGGTTCGGGCCTTCGGATTGGCGCCGCGAGGTGACGATGGAGGCAACGACGAGGTGACTCCACTCGTGGAGAAGCGTGCTTATAATGACGGCGATCCGGAAGAGCGCGAACGTCGCGACATCTGACGCGATGTCTAGGAGTGCTGATGTCAGCACGGAACGCGCTTCCAGAGGTAAATGCGACTTCGAATTGCCCAAATCACTTCCAAAGGCTATCCAGACTCTGCAGATTATGAGAATGCTTAGAACGAGTGGGTGGGGTGCTGAATGGAGGGAGAAAACCGAGAGTACTCGTAAGCACAGCCTGAACAGTCCGTGGGGTTCCATGGCTGTTGCACAAAGATCATTGCATGATGGAGTGCGACTAAGGCCAGTGATTGTTCACGTTCGCCAGACTCTGATAGCAAATAACTTCAATCACGAACGCAGCGGAGCAGGGAGGAACAGAATGTTGGGGTGGTTGAACATTAGTTCGCGCGAACACAACAGACGAGGTTGCCTGCCTTCAGTCCAGGTCAGAAATTCCTACCCTCAGCCGAGTGGCGAGAAATGCAGGAGGATAACCTCGAAGAGAGCAATTCGAGGTAACCCCCCAACCCACAATCGAGACTGGCGGGTGTCCTAGTAATCCGAAGACCCTAGTTTGAATTGACTGAAGCACCTAGGACCTGAGCTGGGTGAGGACCTCACAGCGTTCCGCCTCCCTGGATTGCGTTCCCTTGGTTCCAATTGCGTGCAGGGTAGCCTATATACAGAACGGTATAATTCAGCGGAAACCATCACAATACACGTAATCCAAGACGGTATTGCTTCCAAGTTGAGTCGAGTCTCACCTCGACCCAAACCAAGCCCACGCTCGCTCGTTTCAGTCCTAAGCAAGACAAAACCTGTGGCTTCAATTGAGGGTCTACAAGATCAGGGCGTTCGGGAATAACCCCCCGGGACTCCGAAGTTTTTCATGTTTACGCAAACTGCTCCATCTGCTGAACTCAGGTTGGCAACTCCTCTTCATCCACACAACCCCCAAGCCGCCTCGAAACTCCTATCTGATCATCATTTACGGAGAGCGTTTTGATTGGTTGAGAAACAAGGCGGCCTTGATAACTCGCTCGGTACAATTGCCAACTGGCTGTCCCTCGAGGTTATTTGAATGGCTGAGAGTGGCGAAAAGCGAAGTGTGCTCCGTGGTGACTTGGAATTGACGTCAGATGCATCAACACATCGTTCACACAGATGATGACCTGCTACAAGATGGCTCATGAAACCTCCAAGGGTCGTTCAATACAGTTTTCGTTCGACATCATCAACGCATTTCAGCAGTTGTGAAGTCAAGCCATTGGCTGCGTTCTGTAGGCACGACAAAAGGGGGGGAGGCGGTAAATACACCTAGTCCGCGGTATTTTAACCACGTGAACTTCTTTATTTAAAACATCCTGTGTGCATTTCCTATGGGATGGGCACCCAGAGACTTCGGGACTATTTTAGAATACAGCCGGGACAATTTTATTTTGGAAAACCCACACTTAGTGCTCCGAGATAGGGGGCGCATTGCCATCATAAGAGTTGCAACTGACGTGACCTCGCGAAGGGGACGCGTAAATATACCCTCATAAATTAGTTAAACTACCCTTGTATTCGATCTTGACCACGGAGTAGTACCCCCGCGTGGTTAAGATAGCAGCGGTTAAAATACCGCGAACTATGTGTAGGAACCTTCCCCCAACTGCGTTTTTTGGTTCGAAAGGAAAATGGATCCGAGCCTCCCATTTACCCTCCGAACGTAAACAAAGTTAAATGGCAACACAACAGCCATTCACCCTCGCGGATATGAGGTCGTAGGAAGCTGCCTATTTCCCCTTCCCACCTTCGTCCGCTGGCAAATTTTACCTCCTTCACCCCGCCATACAAAAACTGCTCTTGCCTGGGAGGTGAGATGGAGGGGGGAGGGAGGCGCTAGGTTAGGGAACACTACACCAAAACCCTAGAGAGCAAAAACCCCACACTCGAGTAGCCCAAACAGGGACGCAGCAAATGTTGATGGGAAATGGCCCCGCCCTCGCTTGGACGAAGCAGAATTCACAGTCGGAGGCGTGCATAAGTCAACGTAGACTGCGCGCAGAAAGTGACCTCAATGTGTCCGTATAATTCGGCTTCTACCGACCCGCAGAGTTCGACCTCGACCTGTCCGTATAGTTCGACCTTAACGCGTCCGCAGAGGACGCTGGTCGACGAGCTCGCAGAGGACGCGGTCGACGAGCTCGTGTAAGACGCTGGTCGACGGGCTCGCAGAGGACGCTGGTCGACAAGTCCGTGGAGGAGTTCAGTTCGACGGGACCTTCTTAGTATAGGGGCTCCTCGACGAGGTCGGTATAGGAGCTCCTCTACAAGGCCGGTATAGGAGCTCCCTCGACGAGGCTGGTAGAGGGCTCGTCTAGGCGAAAGCTTCTCGACGGAGCATTCGTCGAGCTACTCTACGAAAGTCGCGCGACTACGAAATTCGTCATATGGGCGAATGTCGCCCATGAGGTTTTCGCGAAGTCAACCTACGGAACGGCATCACGTGCTCGACGGAGCATCGCTGGCGAAACCGTCGGCACGTGCTCTACATGGCACCTGCGCAATGTGCTTGGCGGCACGTCCGTCTACCTGCACCTACCTGGTAGGTGCGCACTTGCGCAGAAGTTCACCTGCCTCTGCGGTGCTGGCAGACCGTGTCAAGATACTAAGGACAGGCGGGCTTAGGAGCCATAGCTATGGTAGCTTAGTAGCTTAGGTTTTTTAGGGTTCAAGAGGAATGTCGAGAGAGTTGCAAAGGAGAAAAGGTGTTCAATAAAGAGAGGAGGTACAAGGATATAGGCAAAGCAAGCAAGGTGCACCACCAAACAATGTAACACTACACCAACTATCGCTACAAGCAGTTTATATAAGAAATATATTTCAACACACCCCCTAAACTGCTTGCAGCAGGAAGTCAATGCAGAGACACCCTTTGAAGGGGTACACCAAGTGCAGCAGGAGAGGAGAAGTGAGGAGGAGGAGGGACTGTGACAGGGGTGGAGATAGGAGGCGACAGGTGAAGCCGCAGTCACACGGGCAACAGGAGCGGCGCGCACATTGGCTACCGAGCGCACGAGGGCACCGGACTACGGGGGTATCTGGCTCCGCGGCTACGACGAGCGGCAGGAGCAACGGACCCACAGGCGACTGGCGAAGCAGGCTCGCTGGGCTACCGAGAGCACGAGGGCTCCGGACTACTGGCGTTGCTGATGACACGACGGCGACCTCCGCTCTACCTCCCTTAACAGTCCCACACCCCCTTCTCACACACCCCCTTGCTACACCCCTGTCTCCACTCCCACGACACCCCCTTAGCTCCACTCCCCTCGGCTCCCACACATCCACCCCCCTTCAGCGGCAGCTGCAGCAGTGGGAGACGAAGAGGGAGGAGGAGGAGGGGAAGGGTAGCACCCACACTCATCACCCCCACACCCGCCACCCCCATACCCTCCCCCCACGGCTGCACAGGGTCCAGGAGCGGCGTCGCGAGCAGCTGCAGGGTCGGCTGCTGCAGGGGCGGCTGCTCCAGGGGCCAGGGGCGGCTGCTGCAGGAGCGGCTGCTCCAGGGGCGGCTGCTCCAGGGGCGGCTGCTCCAGGGGCCAGGGGCGGCTCCTGTAGTGGCGGCTGCTCCAGTGGCCAGGGGCGGCTGCTGCAGGGGCGGCTGCTCCAGGGGCCAGGGGCGGCTGCAGGTGCGGGTGGTCCAGGGGCCAGGGGCGGCTGCTGCAGGGGCGGCTGCTCCAGGGGACAGGGGTGGCTGCTCCAGGGGCGGCATCGCTGGTGCAGGGCAAGCATGCGCGCTGCTGCAAAGCAGGCGCGGGCGCAGGGGAGGCAGAGGCGGCGGCCAGGGGGGGGTGCGCCGCGACGAGCAGGGGCGACGCCGCGCGAGTCCTACAGGGGTGTCGCGACGAAGCAGCGGGGGACGACGCGACCGTTGACGGGGGGGGACGCGCGGGTCCCCGGGGTGGTACGTGAAGCAGGAAGCCACCACACGCCTCGGGGCGCACGGCGGGCAGAAAACCACCACGCGCCCCGAGCGCGTGGCGGGAAGAAAAAAGCGTCGCGCGCCACGGGGCGCGCGACAGACAGGAAAGCAGCGGAAGCACGTAAGGTCCACAGGCCAAGAGCGTAAGAGCTCTGATACCATGTCAAGATACTAAGTACAGGTGGGCTTAGGAGCCATAGATATGGTAGCTTAGTAGCTTAGGTTTTTTAGGGTTCAAGAGGAATGTCAAGAGAGTTGCAAAGGAGAAAAGGTGTTCAATAAAGAGAGAAGGTACAAGGATATAGGCAAAGCAAGCAAGGTGCACCACCAAACCATGTAATACTACACCAACTATCGCTACAAGCAGTTTATATAAGAAATATATTTCAACAGACCGCTGCTATACCGCGCTGGCAGACCGCTATTATACTGGACTGGCAGACTACTTTGCTGCATCATTGGCAAGCCGCTCTTCTGCTGCGCTTGTATAGTTCGCCTTGCAGATGCGGAGAATAGGCGATTGTGGGAGAGCCTAGGCGTAGAGTTGCACGATCGGAGAATGAAGGGCGAGTTTTCCATGTACGGACTTTGCTGGATACCAGATACTGGTATTTGGAGAAAAGTATGCTTGGTACGCAGTAATAGACTTGGTATCCAGTAACGAAAGGAAGTAATTGATTAACTGATTGATTACAACAGATACAACATAAACCTTATAGGAAACATAGTGACGTGTGCGAGAACGTCCTACAAGAACGTTGTCCATGAAGAACGTTGTTCAAGGAGAACGTGCAAGCACCTACTCTAGTATGCGGATCTAGGTTGGCACTGCCAGGTGAAA